ACATCTTTGCTGGCACTTGGAATTGTTATTTTTTTTTATTTTATCCATTCTAATAGGTGTATAATATTTCTTGTGGTTTTAATTTTCATTTCCCTAATGATTAATGATGTTGAATATCTTTTCATGTGCTTATTTGCCATCTGTGTATCTTCTTTAGCAAAGTGTCTGTTCAAACTTTGCCCATTTTTTATTGAGTTGTTTTCTAGTTAGGTTTTGAAAAATTCTTTAAATATTCTGGATACAAGTCTTTTGTTATTTATATGCCTTGTCTTTCATTCTCTTTGTAATATCCTTCATGTAGCAAAAGATTTCAATTTTTATAAAGTGCAATTTATCAATTTTTCCCTTTATAGACAATGCTTTTTGTGTTAGATCTAGAAATTCTTTGCCTAATCCAAGGTTTCAAAAAATTTTCTTCTGTGTTTTCCTCAAGAGTTTCATATTTTTAGCTCTTACTTTTAGGTCTATGATCCACTTTGAGTTAATTTTTATATGTGGCATGGGACATAGGTCAAGATTCACTTTTTTCCCATGTGGATACCCAGTTTTTCCAGCACCATGTACTGAAAGGACTGTCCTTTCTTCATTGAGTTACATTTGCACCTCTGTCAAAAATCAGTTGGCCAAATTTTGTGGGTCTACTTCTGGACTCTATTCTATTCCATTGGTCTATGTGTCTGTCCTTCCACCAATACCACATTGTCTTGATTACTATAGCTTCATAGTACATCTTAAAAGCAGATTGTGTGGATTCTTCAACTTTGCTCATTTGCAAAATTGTTTTGCTATTCTAGTTCCTTTATCTTTCCTTATAACTCTCAAATCAACTAATCTATATGTACAAAAATCCTGCTGGGATTTTTATTACAATTGCATTAAATGCATAGATCAATTTGGGGAGAATTGACATCTTAACTATACTGAATCTTTTAATCCATGAACACAGTATGGGTGTTTTTTTATTTCTTTCATCAGCATTTTGTACTTCTCAGCATAAAAATCCTACACATACTTTGTTAGATTTATACCTAAGTATTTCATCTGTGGAAGAGAGGAGTGCATCACCTTCCAATTGTTTATTTCTAGTGTAGAAATATGATTATTGTACGTTAAGCTTTTATCCTGCATAAATTCACTTCTTAGCATTAAGACCTTTTTGTAGATTTCTTGAGATTTACTACATAGACAATTATGTCATCTGAAAATCAGGATAAATTTATTTCTTCCTTTCCAATCAGAATGCCTTTTATTTTTCTTCCTTACTGCAATTGCTAGGACTTCAGTAAAATATTGAGTATGAGTAGTGAAAATGTACATCTTTGTTGGGTTTCCAATCTTGGGAGTAGGAAGCATTCAGTCCTTCACCACTAAGTGTAATGTTAGCTCTAGGTTTTGTGGATACCTTTTATCAGGTTCCCTTCTATTCCTGGATTGCTGAGTTGGGTGTTTTTTTTTTAAACATTAATGAGATATGAAGACAGCTACATACTTTCTAAAATTTATGTCCACATTTTGTTTGCTATCTGTAAAAATGCACATTTTTTTTTAAAGTATGCTCCACACCCAGCGTGGAGCCCAGTGCAGGGCTTGAACTCACGACCGTGAGATTAAGACCTGAGCCAAGATCAAGAGTCAGACGCTTAACTGACTGAGCCATGCCAAAATACATAATTTTTAAGACAGAAAGAAAAGCATAGAGAAGTAATCAATGCCATCTCTTGGAGAGACTACTAAGACCATGTCAAATGGTACCACCCCCCTCACTTTTCACTATCTCTCTGTCATTTCAGCAATGTAGTCTCTTTGATAGGGTAGGAGTAGGGGTGCTGAATTGCAGGAGCAGTCTTGCTTGGAAGTCCAAAATCAGGCTAGGCAAAGCTCAACTGTCAAGGATCCCCAGCCAGAGAGTCCTCTTGTGAAATCACACTGGCCAGTCCTCTGGATAACAGATGATAGTTATTTCAACAGTTATTGAAGAACCAATGAACTCTAGATAGATTCGATTCTTTTTTGGGCTCAAAATGTTAATTTTTCCTCATCTTGGTTGAACCAACTTTTTACTTTTTTTTAAGAACACAGATGAAATCTCTTGAGTCTGTGATGCTGAGTTTTAAAAAACCATGAATGTTGAATTTTGTTAAGTGCTTTTTTTGCACCTATTCATAGGATCATGTAGTTTTTCTTGTTTAGTTTATTAATGTGGTAGATTATACTAACTGATTTTCAAATGTTGAACCAGCCTTGAATTCCTGGGGTGAATGACACATGATCACAAAGTATTTTTCTTCTTACATGCTGCTGGATTCAATCTTCCAATTTTGTTGAGGATTCTTTCATCTTTGTTCATTAGAACTGATTCAGTTCTCTTTTCTATATTGTTTTTATCTGGTTTTGGTATCAAGTAATTTTCGCTTCATAAAATGAGTTGGAAAGTCTTCCTTCTTCTATCTGCTAGAAGAGCTTGTGCAGAACTATCGTTTTATCTTTAAAGTTCTGCTAAAATTTACCAGTGAAGTCATCTGGGCCTGGACTCCACCCTTTTTTTAGATTTTATTTTTTTAAGGAGGCTCCACACCCAGCATGGAGGCTGACACGGGGCTTGAACTCACGATCCTGAGATCAAGACCTGAACTGAGATCAAGAGTTGGATGCTTAACTGACTGTGCCACCCAGGCGCTCCTAGATTTTTAAATACAAATTCAATTTTTTAATAGTTACAGTACATTCAACTTATCTGTTTCTTCTTGGGCACATTTTGGTAGCTCTGATAGTGGTCTAGTTCATCTGAGTTGTTGAATTTATAAGTATATAGTTGTATCTCTTTTAATATCCATTGGGTCAGTAGTGACATCTCCTCTTAGAGCATTTATGCTATGGGAATGACCTAGTGCAATAAAAAACTGAAGACAAAGTAGAGAAGGTACATAACTGCAGCTGGACAGACCTCAAACTTTATTATGATTGACTCCTTCCTGTCTTTCAATTCTATATCCATCCTTTTCATTTGTCCTTGGCAGTATTTCTTGCAGTTTCCCCCCATTCCCTATAATGCTAGGCATAGCCCTGTAATATCTCCTAAACTATCTACCTAAATTATTCCACTGGCTGCCTAGCTGGTTTCACTGCCATTGCCCACTGTAATTCATCCTTTGCACCCCTGCCAGACTTTACTTCTTAACTTCCAATGGTTCCACACTCTGCCTGCAAGATAAGGACCCTCCACATCTGGTTTAGTCTGGCCTTCTGAGTTGCAGTTCATTTTATTTTCCTAAATCAAGGGTCTTTAACATGCAGGCTTTGGAAGGGAGGGGTGGGTCATGAATCTCCTAAAATTTGAGTATAAAATGTTGTATGAATGGGAACTTTATTTCTAGAGCAAGGCTACAGCCATTACCAGATGTTCAAAGTGAAAAAAAAAATGTGCTAAGAAAAGCCTTCAACCTAATCTTTGTTTCTATAATGCATCAAGAATACCATATATACATATATATTCTATATATATACATAGAATACAGTATATAGCTTCTCCAATAGTTCCCACATCTGTAGTGATCACTCCTTTCTCTGAACTTAAGATTCACATAACTTTAATGATCTAGCCTAAACTTAGTATTTTACAGATGAGGACACAATCTAGCCTTAACAAATTTTGTCCAAAGTGGCTCCAGTAGAACTTGTCTGTGCAACTGAGTGCTGATGTGCTACTTTGTGGGTCTTTTTATGAATAAATTTCATATTTCTCCTTGCAGTCAGGAACTAAACCTCAGAGTTCTTTGAAACTTCAATTATCTTTACATCTTACATAAACTAGCTGCTCAAATGTTTGCTGAGAACAGTGATGATGGTAAGACAGTCATACTGAGGCAAAGGAAAAGGGCTGGTTAGTGAGTACTGAGGTAGAAGCACATTTTTAAGGAAGCATAAGCACATTTGGGGGATGCAAAATATTAAGCCCAGAGCTTAAGATAGCTTATAAAATGTAACACTCAGGGGTCTGTGTGAGGAGAGCTTTGAGGATTCCTAGACAGCAATTTCAGAAAAAATTCCTCAGAAGCAACTAAAAGGGGGATGCCCAGATATATGGTAAAGAGAACAGATAATAGCACCTGCTTTCCAGTGAGCTACACAACGGATTCAAATGTCAACACCACATCCAAGCTATGTCACTGTTGCAGGGTTACAGGGTTCTTGTCTCAGAGTGGAAGAACGAATCTCAAAGACAAAAGGCGGGCCTGAAGTCAAAGTCTATTAAGTGAAGGTGCAAAAGGAAAGAAAAGAGCTCTCTAGAGTGAGAAGGGTCCCGAATGGGTTGCCACTGAGGGGTTTTATGGTAGAAAACTGACCAGGGAACCTGGTAAATATTTCATCTATAACATTTAAGACAAACAAGGTGGATTTGTAAATATTATGAAAATATCTCTTCTACATTTAAAACAATCAAGGTGGATTTGTTATGTTCCCTTCTCTCTGGTTAATATCTTGTCTATAACATCTCTCCACATCTGGAATTTCTGTGAGCCTGGTTATGTAGTCCCTTTCCTGCCTCTCCCTACCTAGCCTCACCTGTCCCTTACTCATCACCTTGAGCAAATTAACTTTTCTCTGCTTCAGTTTTGTCATTTGTTTCTACCTAAGGATTGTTGCAATGCTTAAATAAAATGCCTGTGGAGTGCTTAGGTGTCTTACTCTTAAGGCATTCCTTCCTTAATTGTTAACTGTTGCTATTATTTAATGAGAAGAGGGGTTTTAGGAAGGGAGGAGGTGCTGTGGTCCTTGGTAGAGATTTCCGTGTAAAGGTGGGAGATTCTGTAGCAGACAGATAAGGTATATTCGAAGAACCGGGGGGGGGGGGGGTCACATTTCCACGGTGTGTACCTGCAGGACCCGTCACAGTGGCAGGAATAGCCAGAAGTGTCAGACCAAGAACACACCCTCCACAGTATACATACGAGAGGCCAGCAACCGGATAAGATGAATGAAGCTTATAAGAAAGTTCTCACCTTCTGGGGAAACCTGGAGCGCTGGAAGCGGCCTCATCTGAGGAGAGGGGTTGGATGGCCCAGGGGGTGACCGAGAGGTCGGGAGACAATTTTAGGGAGCTTGGGGGAAGGAGAAGGTGGGAAGAAAACGCCAACGCGGCCCCTTTCCAGCCACAGCTCCCACTGCGACCATCACGTACTGGAAATAACAGGGGAAGCGACCATTTGGGGCGAGCTCCACAGCCGCGGCCGGCGCCTGCTCAGGCAGCTGCCGCGGAGCCGGACGTGGGACGGCGCGGTGGCGCGCGGCTGGGACGCGCGGGGGCGTCAGCAGGCCGGAAACGCCCCGCCCACGACGCAGGGAGGGGCGGGGCCACGGGCCTCTTCCGGCCGCGCGGCTTTGCGCTGGCTGTCCGGCTCCTCGAGGGCGTTTCCCAAGGCGACGTGCGGAACCTGGAGCCCTAGGGCCGAGTTCTGTAACAGATGGTCGCCAAATGACAGCGTTTTTCCGGCATTTGTGTGGGATTCCATTTGAAATTCTGTAATGGATCGTCGCCAAATGGCAACGGTTTCCTGGGATTTGTTTTCCCAGATTTGGTATCATATAATATTGAGATTTCCTGTCCAGCACTGTGGATACTTCTCCGTTAATCCGAGTCTTCCCTCGTTGTTCAGCTGAAGTCTTAGAATCTTCTTGGTGGTTTGCACATTTTTTTTTTTTTTAAGATTTTATTTATTTACTTGACAGAGACACAGCGAGAGAGGAAACACAAGCAGGGGGAGTGGGAGAGAGAGAAGCAGGCTCCCCGCAGAGCAGGGAGCCCGATGTGGGACTCGATCCCAGGACCCTGGGATCATGACCTGAGCCGAAGGCAGTCGCTTAACCAACTGAGCCACCCAGGCGCCCCCGCACATTTCTTATTAGGTTTTTTCCTGGCAGTTTTTATTGCTGTTTTGGTTTGTTTGTTCTTCCTAATGGACTTTTATTGTACCCTAGGATAATTTGGGTTTTGGTATGTGGATCTGTGTGGTCACTTCGCTGAACCTTTGTTTTCTAATAATTCTCTTGGATTTTGTAGGTAAGAATTCATCTGTAAATAACAATTTTGGCTTTTCCCAAGAATCCCACACAACACTGTTTACTAGCCTCAGGGCTTGCCTCCTTTTTTCCAGAAGTTACTTGGATTGCATCTTACCTTTCCCTTCATGATGTTTTCTGAAGGTTTCTGGCAGTTACCTTTTTAAAAAATTAACTGTACTTTTTTCTTTTTCTAGTTTACCAATTTGTTTTATTGTTTCTTAAAATCAGAAATGGGTATTTATTACCAAATACTTTCAGTATTAGTCTCACAGATGATCATATAGCTTTTCTCCATTACCCTGCTGTAATAAGACTACAATAATAGATTTTCTAATGTTGAGCCGTCCTTTCAGTCCTGGTATGTATTCTTCCAATATGTTGCTGGATGAAAATTGCTGTGTATTTCATATAGGATTTTTGTGTCTAAGTGAATAAGGAAAGGGTTAAGGTATAGACTGGGAGAGAGAGGGAGCCCCTGGCTGGGCTCTGAGACTATTCCTGGCAGGCCGAGGGTTAAGACAGAGTGAACAAAAATGATAAGGAAAGAGACCACCTGGCCTCGGATGGTCGGGAGTATTTTTCTTTGGCGGCTACAGTGTATTATAGAAAATGACCAAACCTCAAAGAATTAAGTCATCAAGGGTGTTATCAATAGTCCTTACTCAAACCAAGACAGCACAAGAATCTCAAGGCTATAAGCTTCCCAGTCAGTTCTCAATAAAAGATTGCCACTAAAAGCCCTCAGTGGCAACCCATTTGGGACCCCTTCACTCTAGAGAGCTGCTTCTCTCTTTTCTGTTCTCACCCTCACTTAATAAACTTTCACTTCACTTCACCCTTTTGTGGCCGAGAGATTCATTCTTCGATTCCATGAGACAAGAACCCTGTGATCCTGTAACCTAAGTTCGTAAGTGAAATTGACTTATGGTTTTCTTTAGTTGTCCTTGTCCAGTTTTGATATTAGTGTATGGTAGGTCTCAAAATGACTCAGATTAATTTCTTTTTATGACCTGGAATAGACCTAGTGTATGAATGATCTATTCCTTAGGTTTGAAAAACTCATCTTCAGAGCTATCTGAGTGTGGTGCCTTTTTGAGAGTTAAATATATGTTTTTCCTAGAAAAGTATCAATTTCATTTACATTTTCAAATTTTTTGGTATTAAATTGTCTGTCATAAGCACGCTGTGAAGGCACACACAGGAGTGTGTCTTTCCACAGTGTCGGCTTGCTTCCGTCATAAACCAAGGTTCACATAATTATAAAGCAGGTTCAGGATTCCAAATGCAATGACATTTCACCGGTGGTTAACTTGGCTTCTTCCATGGCATGCAAAGCAGAACACAGGTCACCCAGCAAACAAGATAACACAGGGGCTAGGAAGTTAAAAATCCAAATGCAAAGTCCGTCTGAGTGCGCAGTTGAGATGAGGCCTCAGTCAGGCTTAGGTCAGTCAGCTCTTGGCACTTGCATCTTACTATGTTCAAGCAGTGAAGGGTCTCAGCTCTGTTCGGAGACCAGTGGGGCAGAGCCTTCAGCGGCGGAGGCCTTTTCTAAGTGATCAGACATGGAGGGGTCAGTGTCTGGAGAATCTGACAGTTTGCTGCAAAAATCCTCCCCTTTTTAAAGGGATTGAATCGGTGTTGGGCCCCTGCAGCCCTGCTCTGCCTCTGCTTGGGATCAGCTCTGGGGCGTCGTCAGCTGGTGCTGGTCTCTGCGATAATGTCTCGAGGCTGCAGTGCCCTTAAATGCTGGTGTCCTTGCTTGACGCAGGCCCCTGCTGGACGTGAGAGACTCCATCTTGCTCTCCACACTCTGATATTAACTTTTTTTTTTAATCTCATATTGTTCTTGTTCATATATATTCTTTTGGAGTCCTTTTTCTTGATCAGATTTATTGAACCACTTTCTGATTTTTTATTAATTTTGATTGATTTTGTTATTGATAACCTTTATCTAGAAGTTTTTTCTCTTTCGTTAATGTATGCCTTCATTAATTTCTTCCTTATTTTTTTTTAAAGATTTTATTTATTTATTTGACAGAGAGAGAGAGAGCATGGAGCAGCAGAGGAAGTAGCAGAGGGAGAGGGAGAAGCAGACTCCCCGCTGAGCAGGGAGCCCGATCCAGGGCTCCATCCCAGGGCCCTGGGGTCATGACCTGAGCCGAAGGTAGACATTTAACTGACTGAGCCACCCAGGCACCCCTCTGTTTTGTTGTATATATGTGTTGTTTTTTTTTTTTAAAGATTTTATTTATTTATTTGACAGAGAGAGACACAGTGAGAGAGGGAACACAAGCAGTGGGAGTGGGAGAGGGAGAAGCAGGCTTCCCGCGGAGCAGGGAGCCCGATGCGGGGCTCGATCTCAGGACTCTGGGATCATGACCTGAGCCGAAGGCAGACACTTAACGACTGAGCCACCCAGGCGCCCCGTGTAGATATGTGTTTAAAAAGCATAGGTATGTGCCCCCACATTGGAACTGTGTCCTCCTTTAATAGTAAAATTTAAGCCTTTCATATGTATGTGCTTGGATTTAATTCTAACTTATTTTTTCTATATATTGTGCTTCCTGTTGTTTTCTTCTCTTTTCTGTCTTTGGTTTGATGAAGTTTCTTTTTCCGGATTTTTTTTTCTTTAGTAGTTTGGAAGTTACAGGTTAAATTTTTATCTAGTGGTTATTGTTATTATATTTTAGCTCATTTAAATTTCTATTTTTATATAAGCATATGGAGTTTATCAGCATTTTTATGAGGCAGTCTTATATAGTGGTTAAGAGTAGAGACTGAAGCCATACTGCCTGGATTCAAATTCTGGCTTTTCCACTTATTAGCTGTGTGACCTAGAGCTTATTAAATAACCTCTCTGTGCCTCAGTTGCCTCATCTGTAAAATGGGGATAAAACAGCATATAACTGATAAGATTATTGTGAGGATTAGTGTGTTAATGTATAATCAATATGTAAAATTCTTTTTTTTTTCTATAGGACACTGCCTAGCATGCAGCACATAGGTCTCTCTAATCACTAGTTTTTCATCTATGAAATGGGCATAATATCTGCCTACCAGATTTGTTATAAAGATATACATTATCGTATATACACTATTCAGTTTACTATAATGAGCACCTTCTACGCACTTGAATTAGCATGGTTTTTGGCTTCAAGGAGTTCATGATTTGGTAAGGACCCAGACACAGAAACACAACTGCAGTATGACATAACCTTAATACTGTTCCCATGTCTTCTCTTGTCCCCTTCTTATCTATGTTCCACACAGAGCAGTTTCAGAACACCTTATTCAGATCACGTATTCCCCTGCCAAAATGATTTCCACTTCCGTTACACTTTACATGAACCACAGTCTCCTGACTATGACTTTAACACTACACTCTGGGCTCTGCCCGCGCCCTTCTCGTCTCATTAAGTGCCACTCTCCCCTCTTCTGGTGACTCTTACCACACAGGCTTCCTCTTGGTTCCTTAAACCAACTCTTTCACTCCTTGGTGCCCTCTGCCCAGAATTTTCATCCCACCTGCGCTGACTCATCATGGCTGACTCATCTTTCGGGTCTCAGCTTGACTCAGTCAGGTTCTTAGTTACAGACAGCAGAATCCACTCTGGCTGAGAAAGGGCCTTGATCAATACGGCGTAGCCCACAGAGTGTCCAGGAAGACCAGCAGCCAGATGTAGGTGCGGCACAGCCAGGTAACACCCTAGCAGCTCTAGCGACAATCCACTGCTGCACTTGACACCAACACAACTTCTACAAACACAGGCTCCGAAACTCAGGGCTTTCCCTCTGGGACGCTCGCCACGCTCACCACCGGGTGGGGCAGAGTTTGGCACGTTTCCTTCTTCATCCTGCAAATCTTTCTTGCAACAAAAAAGTCGAATCTTTCTGACTTCATCTTTCAAGTTGAAGTTCTGTGTGACCATGTCTAGTCACCTCTGCCTGGGCTGCAGAGGGGGTCCAGGGGGCAAGCCTTCTCACAGGCGACTCCTCGGGTATCAAATGGGTGTTCAAAAGTGCTGGACATTCAGAGAACCTGTCCCATGAACACTGACTATCATGTCACCTCAGCAGAAGGCCTTCCCTGACAGCCCTGTGTATACACATACTCTCCCCAGCCCAGCCCCATAGTCCTGTGCTCCGTCATCCTCTTCAAGGCATTTGCCACAACTTCTATTGTTGTCTCTTGGTTCAAAGGCCTTATAAATCCTGGCGCCTGAGTCCAGTCTCCATGTGGAGTTTCATTAAGTGTCCCTCAGGCAGCCAAAAATGATTTTAAAATGTACTTCAGTCTTTAACGTGGGTCTCTTGGAAGAAAAAATTATTAAAGGGGCTCCCGTCACAATTCCCAACCGTTCTCATAGGTTTGCATTCCCTTTTCTCTTTGTTCATTCCCCCCAACCATGCATTGGTTTAGCATTTCTTCATAAATTTTGCCCCTAGGGCTCTCTCCTCCAATGTTTTCTGCCTGTTCTCTTATCTTGCATCACAGACATTCAGAACTGGTTTGGGAGATCCATCTTTCTCAGGGCACAGGGGGAAGAAGTTGAGAGACCGAGGAGGCTGAAAACATTGACACAGTGAGCACTTTGGCTCACCACATGTGTCTGACCTCCGGATTGTAAATTTTACGAAGACAGGGACAATATCTGTTCTATTTGTGCCTAACGCAAAAATCTGACAAACACAAAGCCAATTAACATTTGTTTTCTGGAAAAAAAGAAAAGGCCAACCACTGAAGTATAGAGAAGGCAATATACAGCACAGAGCAGGAGCTCCTGGCCTAGCGAAGGGTCGGGTCGGCAGGGGGTGGAGGGGAGGAGCAGTGAGTAAGGAGTTTGCGAAGTCATCCTGGAGAAGATGAGGCCAGAGCAGAATCTTAAACAGAGAGAATTCACCGTGCAAAGAAAGAGGTAAGGATAGAGAAGAGTGTTCCAGTTAGAGTGCAGCACCAGCACAGAGAAATGCCAATCAGCTTGTGGTTCTGTTGCTAAAGGTGAAGTAGGGGGACCGGCAGGAGGTGGGCAGAAGGGCTG